TGTATCTATCTATCAAACTTACCTATCTATCTATCTCACTTTATAAACATCCTTCTATATCAGTCTATTTCTATCTAGCTAGCTAGCTGGATAGCGATCTATCTATCAAACTTATCTATCAAATCTATCTATCTACATTTTCATACTTACATATATACAAAAATAGGTAATGAATTGAGTGTGATCTATCTATCTATCTATCTATCAAATTTGTTTGTTTCCCCCCCCTCTCTCTCTCTCTCTCTATATATATATATATATATATATATATTATAATTATTTTATTCTAAAAATATGATTCCTTCGCTTTATTTAAAAAGAAATACTTATAATCTAAGCTCTACTTCTGTATGGAGCACTGTTTTTAAAAATAAAATCAAAAATACGAAAGAAACCTAGACTACTTACCTAACGTGTTCTTTTCCTATTTTCTACATACCTGCACACACTCACGCACACACACACATATATATATATATATATATATATATATATATATATATATATATATATATATATATATATATATATCAGGCTATTAATATCTATCTATCTATATTTCTATTTATTTATCTACCTCAGTCTATTAATATTTATTTATCTCAATTAATTCATATCTCTCTATTTTCATACTTACATATATACAAAAATAAGTAATGAAGTGACTGCGTTCTATCTGTCTATCTATCTATTTATCTAGGTAGGTAGGTAAGTAGGTAGCGTACTAGATAGCTATCTCAGTCAATTCATATCTATCTACCTATATTGTTTTGTTATTATCTATTTATCTTTGACTGTATATATCTATCTAAATCTGTCTATCTATTTATCGATCTATCTGTCAATCTATATCTGTTCACATCTATCTAGCTAGCTATGACTGTCTATACCTATCTATCATTCTATTTATATATCTATTGATATTATTTCTTTATATTGATGTCAAATATTTTAATATTTAATGATTGAAAATATTATTATTATTATTATTATTATTAGTTTGGAATTGTGACGGTTATAATGCGATGCGGACGGTTTCGCTGCTTAAAATGACTACACAATTCCCATGTATCTATGTTGAAATATGAATGCATCATCCCGCAACCCTATTTTTTAACTTGTCAAACTTCTTTCTTTCCCTCTCTCACTCACTTTCCCTTTCCCTTTCCCCATATCTATCTCACTTTCTCTTCCCCCTAAAAAACCTTATATCGAAATCCCTTTCGTTCTCCCCCTCTTTTTTCTTCCCCTTTTAATATTAAAACTTTTTTTCTTTTTCTCTTTTCTCTCTCTTTCTTTCTTTCTTTTTTCTTTTCCGTGTGTCTTAAAAAAAAATTGAACTTCACTTATTTTGTAAAATTTCTTTATTTCATTTTCAGATTTACAAATAATTTGCAAAAGTTCATATTGGTTTGAATTTTATCCTGTTGTCTTCCCGAGTACTGTCGAATGTTACTACATTCGTTTTCAAAGAGTTTTCTGTGTATATTTATGCAACTGTTTTTTTTATTTTTATTTTCGACGTTTTCACTTTTGATGAAACCAATTTCACGTTGACGTCAAGGTGACTGTATTTAAACGGTTACAGTTTTTTTGGTTGTTTTTTTTTAAAAAAAAACACTTCAATGTATGTAGACAGATAACTTATTTAATGTTCGTTGCTTCTCCTCTATTACAACAGACACTGGACAATCTATAGATAGATAGATAGATAGATAGATAGATAGATAGATAGATAGATAGATAGATCATGAATATAGATAGATAGATAGATAGATAGATAGATAGATAGATAGATAGATAGATAGAACATGACCACACTGAGATAGATATGAACAGACTGAGATAGATAGATAGATAGATAGATAGATAAGAACAGCTTGAAAGAGATAGATAGATAGATAGATAGATAGATAGATAGATGAATAGATAGATAGATAGATAGATCATGAACAGAGATAGATAGATAGATAGATAGATAGATAGATATGATAATAGATGAATAAGAACAGATTGATAGATAGATAGATAGATAGATAGATAGATAGATAGATAGATAGATAGATAGATAGATAGATAGATAGATCATGAACAGAGATAGATAGATAGATAGATAGATAGATAGATAGATAGATAGATAGATAGATAGATAGATCATGAACAGAGATAGATAGATAGATAGATAGATAGATAGATAGATAGATAGATAGATAGATAGATAGATAGATAGATCATGAACATACATGGGATATATATAGATATGATAGATAGATAGATAGATAGATCATCAACACACTGGGATATATATGAATGGACTTAGATAGATAGATAGATAGATAGATAGATAGATAGATAGATAGATGCGATTCCACAGAAATAGAAATTCTATAAATAAACAAAGAAATAAATGAAGCGAAAACCGTGAAAATGAATAAATGCAAAATAAATAATATTATGTTCGGAATAGAATGACAAATGTTCAAACGAATTCATTATTTGGAATCTTATGTTGCAGTTAAGATCAAACAGATTCCGCTGTTGTTGTGCCCAGCATGGTCAAACCCCATTCTTTGCTCAGCCTCCTTTTCGTTCATGCTTCCTTAATGTTTAGTCGACACCATATCCTGTCATCTTGCCTATTCTCTTTCTCTGATGCTCTCTATTTTACTGTTTCTTATTTGTCTATTTCCGCTTTCTCTTTACCCTTCCCCTGCTTTCCGAATTCAGTGGACTCCGTTTGCCTGTGTCTCTCGCTGTTCAATTATTTTCCGTGCTAAACTTCCGACTCTTTCTGTGTTTTCCCTAAACTTTCTTTCTCTCGCTTTTACATGCCGTCGTCGATAAATTTTTCTCAGCCCAGTGATTTTCTTCCTCTCCTAATCGTCCCACTTCCGTTTTTACTCTCCCCACTTCCGCTTCTCCCCGTTTTTTATACATCTTTAATCCACATCAGTTGAAGTTCGATTTTAAACAAAGAATCACTTTGACCAACAGCTATATTTACCGACTGGTCAACTTTGATCCATCCATTTTTTTTTTTCATTATTTCCGTTGAAATATACGATCAAAAACAAAAACAAAAAAAAAAGACTAAAGGTGAAACAGCAGGTGAAAAGGCCATGAAGATGGTCGTCTGTAGAAATCACATTGATGAAAAAGACAAGCCCGCGCCGGGAGTAAAAATCCAGATGTGAGAATTTCAAAGCAAACCACTCGCTGTACAGTTACTTAACGTAAGTAAATCTTGGGACATCTTCACTGCTACTTCTGTTTCTCTCACAACAAACTAATAGGCCAGATCTCTCCTTTGGACAGTGAGAACTCTGTCTCCACATTTGTTACTTTATTCGCAACCCCGCATCTCTTCTTTCTGTCACAGTGACTCTAGCCGTAATATACAACGTGTCCTGACTATATAAGCCTGTGATCGGAATTCCCTCCTTTCCGACAGAGCGGCACTTGATTCTGATATTATTTATCTATACATGTTATTTCTTGCACAGTGGAGGTTTACATTGAAACTCGTGCAACTGGATTTTACTCACGATATAATGTGTTGTCATAAATCCCGCGTCTTGCTTCAGACTAAGATAAAATAATTTACAGTCGACATGACCACATGGGTATCTTAATCAATGAAGTGGGAAATAAGTAAATATTGTTTTCTCTCCAGAATTGTAATGAAAACGTAGGTGGCCCTTGGGCTCATTTTAGTTCCAGGATATATTTTATACATCGTGTATCATATTATTCGGACTATTGTCCTCATCTTTGTTGCCATATTTATTACAATGTTTCGGCCGTTGTACGCTCCGGCCTTCTTCGTGTGGTTGGAATATCGAACTGAACCCTTTATTTCGCTCACTGGCGTAGACTGTTCTAGTTCCACGTGCCATGTCTAATGGATGTCATTTATCAGTTATCTCCTGTTAATTCGCCTCTCCAAGTTCTCCAGTGCCTTAACCAGGTATTGAACTCACACTCTTTGGGTCTTGTCTAACTAACGCCTTTATCCACTGTGTCATTTGTCCTTAATTTGGCAACAAAAGATGAGGACAATCGTCCGAATAATGTAAATACTGTACATAATACATACATACATATATATATATATATATATATATATATATATATATATATATATATATATATATATATATATATGTATGTATTATGTACATTATTAATATATATATATATATATATATATATATATATATATATATATATATATATTCATTTAATAATATTATAAATAGATAGATAGATAGATAGATAGATAGATAGATAGATACCCCAATTGACCCGAACAAAATAAATCAAATTAATTATCTACTACAAAATATTATTTAAACAACTAACCTTATCCTAAAAAAAAACACACCAGTAAAATCCAAATTACAACGAACGAACATTAACTATGAGTTCAAACGCCCCTTAAAGAACTGTGTTTCTGATCAAACGGAATTTATAAATAATTACATTGGTCACACTACTACATGCCTATCCATATGCCTCACGATACACCCATCCGACCGCAGCTCCATAATGAAGCCTTAATAATAAAAAAGAAATATAATTATAATAATATTAACTAAGAACACGCACACAATGTGTTGAGTTTGTAAAATAAAACAGCCCGATAAATCTAGAAACAGATACACAACCCATATACCCAATTAAAAAGTAAAAATAAAATCATCCCTGATAATGGCTAAAACTATAGCCGAAAGCGACCAGAATTAGTAAACATTTGGACAGTTTCTTGAAAAGAAAACACTTGTTCGAACACAAGAAAAATTAAAGAAAAAAATTAATCGAAGTAACTTGTCTGACGTCTTTAATGAAACATAAACACACATACACACACACACACACATATATATATATATATATATATATATGTGTGTGTGTGTGTGTGTGTTTCATTAAAGAGAGAGAGTGAGAGGTAGAGATAATGAATGAACTGAGATAGATAGATAAGGAATAGACTGTATAGAATGCAGTCTAATCCTTATCTATCTCAGTCTGTTGATATCTATCTATCTCAGTTCACTCGTTATATATCTCTCTCACACACACACACTCACTCTCTCTCTTTTCTCTCTCTCTCTCTCTCTCTCTCTCTCACACACACACACACACACACACATATCAAGCAAGGCGGTTACAGGGTGTGAAAGTGTGAGAGAATGGGATTGAGAAGTTTGAAAATGAGTAGGATTGAGGAAAAGACAAAAAAGGAAAAAAGACAGAAGACGTCTATTTTAGTCCACTCATTATCTATCTATCTATCTATCTATTTATCTATCTATCTATCTCAGTCTATTTCTATCTATCTGTCTCAGTCTGTTCGTATCTATCTATCTATCTATCTATCTATCTATCTATCTATCTATCTATCTATCTATCTATCTATCTATCTCAGTCTATTCCTATCTATCTGTCTCAGTCTGTTCGTATCTATCTATCTATCTATCTATCTATCTATCTATCTATCTATCTCAGTCTATTCCTATCTATCTGCCTCAGTCTGTTCGTATCTATCTATCTATCTATCTATCTCAGTCTGTACGTATCTATCTATCGTTACTTTTGTAAAAAAAGGAAAAGACAAAAAAGGAAAAAAGACAGAAGACGTCTATTTTAGTCCAATCATTATCTATCTATCTATCTATCTATCTATCTATCTATCTCAGTCTATTTCTATCTATCTGTCTCAGTCTGTTCGTATCTATCTATCTATCTATCTATCTATCTATCTATCTATCTATCTATCTATCTCAGTCTATTCCTATCTATCTGTCTCAGTCTGTTCGTATCTATCTATCTATCTATCTCAGTCTGTACGTATCTATCTATCGTTACTTTTGTAAACAGATATATATTTTAAATTATCTATGATTTTTTCTTTACGCAATATCAAATTATCGATGAGGGAATCTAAAATAAAAAATAAATCAAACGCCAACATTCGATTCACATTCTCACCAATCTCTCTTGACTGAAGAACTTGAAACGAACATGGCGTATACATTGCATGGCCGTCATTTGTGGTTAATGGCTTTTATCTTCTTACGGAGACGGTTGAACTTTTACTGTTCGAATAATTCACTGATCATATCTCTGTAGTAATTGTTTTTAGTATGTCGAGGCGCATATAAGCGCGACCGGCGAGTACTTAGCCAAGCATTGTACCCTCTTCCTCCTCCTCATTATTATTATTATCAGTCCCATGACCAGGTATGGTGGTAGGGTCGTTGCGCACCTGAGCACCTGACCAGTTGCCCCTACGTTAGGTTGAAAGCCATTGTGGTATTTATTCATGCGTAACGCGTCCTGGGGTAATTAGACTTGATAGAACACACCCCTCTCCATGTAAAACCACAGCTGATGTCCGCCAACATAAAGGTTCGCATATGGTCAAAAGACACGAGAGTTAATTCAATCGGAAAGCACCAACCCTTGGTCGTTGATGTTAGTGTAGGAAAGCACCCCGCCCAGGAATGCTGTGTCATTGCCGCACTGGATACACCCATAGCTATAGAGCCTTATCTAATTAATTCTGATAGATGGCCAATGGCCCTACAATGGGTGTGCCGCCACTCCCCACAATAAAAAAAATCTATTGCGAGAAACGGTTTAGTGGCAGATGACCCGGCCATAAAGGAAAGATGCTACATCGTACCAGCAACAACCATAATGTGCAATATAAGAGACATTTTTAATGTAGGAGAATCTTTGTGGTGGCGCGGTGGAGTAATGGATAGCGAGCCGAGTTTGAATTCCAGTCGAATCCATTACATTCACTTACGTTCTAATACCCTTGGGAAAGGTATGAATCCTTTTCTTCCACCCAACTATGGGTAAATAGCAGGACAGACCGGGTTCTATAGCCTTGGATAGCCTTCTACCACAGAAAGAAATGGCAACTTACTGCGGGAAAAAAAATCTGCCTCGTCAGTCATGTATCTAAAGATACATGATCGTCTAAGCGTGTATCATGCATGGCACATAACTGACTGGATCTTTGTATATAGATATCTGAGAAGTGTCTTAACAACGAACAGAAAATGTGACAGTGAACTCCGAATACGCATTAAAATAGCGAAAAATGCCTTCCAAAAGCTCAGCAAAGTATGTAGAGACTGGATAATTTCGTTAAAAAACAAGGAAACGAATGTTGAACTGCTATGTAATAACAATCCTCCTATGTAGAAAAAAAGAAACTCTCCATGACGGACGGCAGATTTTCTGTAATATTTATTTTTCTTCAGTGCGCTGATCGATAAACATAACACACATTGTTTAAAATTAAAAAAACATTGCGTCTATTTCAAATACGGGTAATAACTAAAATTGATTAATTATTGTTAATCAGTTCAACATAAGCAAGGCGATAATGCCACTAAAACGCAAGGGGATACTAGGAGTGAAAGTCAATGAAACGGAAAATTAATGCTAAAGAGGAAACAATGGATAAACATCTACTTCTGTTCAAAAGAGCGGGAAGGAGTATGAACCGGACGATAAGGCGAACTTTCCTACTTCTATTGAGATGAATAAAAGTAAATAAAAATTCAAATTCAGACATCAGAAGTATAGACTTAATTAAAATAAACTTTCGAAGGAACCCAATTCTAAACAGGAAACAAAAAAAAAAAAACATTTACTCCTGTTCAAAAGACGGGTGGAGGTAAACCGGGCAATAGAAGATAATATATATAATATATATATATATATATATATATATATATATATATATATATATATATCGTCGTCGGCATCCGTCCGTCTCGAGAGACGATGGAGTAGCGCGGTGCGCTAGTAACCTGGGCGGGACGTCTGGAGAACTAGGGCTGCCCAGGCGTCTAGTTTCCCCTCCCGGATTTGCTAACAGAGTCCAAAGGATCGGATAAACCAATACAGTTTGGTACCAGCGCGGCTGCTGGTGGTGCCGTCCATCTGCCTTAGGGGCTCCACTCCGGGTTTGAATTCAGAGTTGTCATTCTCCTAGACCAGTTGCCATCCAAGGCTACAGAACCCAGTCTGTCCTGCTATTTTACCCATAGCTGGAGGGAGAAGAAGAGGATTCACACCTTTCTCAAGGGTATTAGCACGTAATTGAATTCGAACTGGGCTCTCCGATTCCTCAATCCAAGCCACTATCCATTACTTCTCACCGTGCCTCCTGCTTTATATATATATATATATATATATATATATATATATATATATATATATATATTATATTTTTAGTTGGAAAGATGTGGTTTGTGACCCTGGGTTTCACGCTTTAGCGATCGTCAGACACGATCGCTAAAGCGTGAAACCCAGGGTCACAAACTCACATCTATCCAACCAAATAAGTTAGCTCTATCTCTGATATTGAGTGCTTTCTAATAAGTACCGCGCATATAATATATAAATAATTATACATATATATATTTATTTTTATTTATATACACTTTTCACATATATATATATATATATATATTTCATAGAAATATATATATATATATATTATAGAAATATATATATATGTGTGTGTGTGTGTGTGCGTGACACCATCCATAAAATCTTTATTAGTTAGAAAAGGTTCCTATATAAGTTATTTTCTGCTAATGAATACTTTTACAATAAAGTCTATCATTATTTGACATTTACTTAGAAAGGTATATATGTCTGGCACAAAAACAAATATTCATGCATTTTGGTAAATATTATTTTTCAGCTTTTACGAAAGACAACAGAAGCGTATTGATTTAAGGAATCTGACCTGTTGCTTCGGTTGTCGGTAACTCTTTGAGCGTTTCTCTATCTATCTATCTATCTATCTATCTATCTATTGCAATATGTTCATATATCTCTCTCTTTCTCTCTCTCCCTAACTATCTATCTATTGCAGTCTATTCCTTATCTATCTATTTATCTATTTATCTGTCTCAGGTGGTGA